TGATACTAAAACAATTAGACCCTTCCCCCTCAAGGGCCACGGGTCTAATTGTTAAATATAAGCCTTATTCCCGAAGCAGGTCCCTACCAAGCTATATTTAGATCAGTCCTGGCTTTGGAAATCCCAGGGGGGTCGAGAAATAGCCAATCCCGTGACGCACGTTTTGCTCACGTGGGTAGCCTAATTGGCTTACACGTATTATCATACTCCACGAAAACATTCACGCTACGCGCGGGGTAACGTTATCTGCGGAAGAACTGGGTACCACGTCTAAAAGTAACCCGAGAGGGATTACCTTAAAAGAAAGGCCTATAGGAGAATTAACTCTTGCTCTTCATGCTCTCTTGTCAACATTGGTAAGTCGTGACGATTTCCAGCAGCATACATAAGTTTTTCAACAATTTAAATTTCCACAGAGCACATAAAACGTTTCTTGGTATACAGGCTTGTGTTTGTGTTTTAATGCCAATTTTACCAGGGGCTTAATCTCGACATAACCCGCTCTTTAGAATGTTGCTTGTCATTTTAACAAGTGCTTTTGTTGCTTTCTCGTAATTAGTTTTGTAGACGTTAGTTTGGAAGCAGGGAAATGTGTCAACTTTAAAATCAAGGTTGCAGATGACCTGGGAGAGCTGGAACTAGGCAATTTAGATCAGGAATACATCAAAGACCCTGATCTCCGTGAATTGCTGGACATGACGGATTTGGACGTGAAAAAAATGGAAAGCCTTGAAGACCGGAAACTGCGCCTAGTATTTTCCGTGATTAACAGCGAGAAATTTGTCCTTAAGGGCAAACGGGAACACGAGGTATATATTTCAGCAGTTGACCTAATTTGTCGAACATCGATTCTAATATGAATGAATTTGTTCGTTGTTAATGAAGTTAAAATCTGTTCGCTTGAGCTAGCTAGTGTTGGTGTCAAAAGGGAAGGTAGAGGCCAGCTCGTAGAATTTCTCAGTACCTGAATAAAAATTGGAAAATTGTCGCAAATTGCAGTTTTACAAATTTCAATCACTCTTAGTTTGCCCTCAATATTGAACAGGTGACATATTTCCGGTCAAACGTCTGTAACAAGTGCATCCTCCATTACCTTTCTTAACCCTAAGGCGAAAAAAGCGGGTTGGCTTGGATATATATTTTTAGACTGAATTTCGTCGAAAAAAATCGACTGCCACACTCGAGTTGTTACATTGTTACATGACTTGTTACACTGGATTGTTATATCTCTCAGTTAGCATAGGCGCGCTGTGATTAGTCAGTTTAGCGGGCCGTATTCTGCTGTGCTGTTTTTGTTGTCAAAGTGTTTCGTGATTTATCGCCAAGTGCTCTTAACTTTCTTAGCAAGTAAAATTTTAAAACTTTTGTTACTGTAAATGTTTAAAACTTTCTTTCTTTCTTTTGATATTGTGTATTAAGACCTGCTAACGATTTAAGAGTCACTAAATTGACTCGTTTTGCTTTCGAGGTGCATCAGAAATTTGAAGCCGTTCCGCGTGAATAGAAATCATTCCTGAACCCGTCATACACACGGCAGAGATATAATATCTTACTAACCTCGTTTTCTCGGTCCGTACTGTAAGTTACGAATCCTCGTTTTTCACCTTTGATTCATGGCCCGCGCGCGGGAAACACTTAGTGCTTAACTTACAGTACGGCCCTCGAACTCGGTTAGTAAGAGGTATTTATTAGCTGTATCCGAACTCTAATTAGTGGCAACTATTTGCTTCATGATTCATCGTGTCGGACAATACAGGCTGATATAAATCGCCACCAGTAAATTAGTCTTTAAGCCTTTGTACGCCTTTCCACCTTCCTGCCTCTTTGATATAAGTTAGAGTTGAACATCATTGCTTTATCTTCTCTTGTTTTGAAGTTTCAGTTGGACGCTGGTTTCGAGGCAGATATCCCGCAGATTGTTGAGTGCCTTGTAAATGCTCAAGCACGCTTATGCTATAGAACGAAGACCATTCCTCCAAAGGTAGCAGCGAGGTACACCCGGGGCCCGATTCTCTTCAAGTTTGTTCGTGTGGATTACGACAAAACTCAAGGGAAGTTGAAACTATCTGAAGGAGAGTTTCCAGGGCATGCTGTTCGTGCTCAGTCGCATACAAAAGACACGTTCGAAACGTCAGGGAAAAATAACTGGTATACTGGAGAATACGTCGAGCCTGATGCCGGCTCGCCGCCGAAAGAAGAGTGTTACTTTGCAGGTAAAAAAATCCCCCATGGGACTCACACATGAAATGGTCGGGGACGGTCGTCCGCAAATTTGAATTAAATCCCTAATAGAAACCAACCTGGGCGTGGTCGAGCTTTATTTGACCCCTAAAAGATACCAGTTAAAACAGAATAGGCTTGATTACCAGACGCTGATGAGGAACTGCAGGAATAATAGCGTTTGTTATTATTATTTCTTCGAGTACACCCTAAAAGACACTTTGACAACTAAAAAAGAATGGCGTTTGGTCATCAACACCTTAAGTGAGACCAAAGTCCCTGATTTATACCCCAAAGCGAGGCGACGAGCATCCCAGACCTTTTCACGTGGGAGTCGCACACCTCCCCCACCCACCCCCCCGGAAGAAAAATAGCCAATTATTACTCGTTAATTAAGCGTTTATGCCGTGGAACCTGGTAGACCTATGTCACTTTAGTTTTATCATTCGACAAGTCGGTTTTGTGCAAAACCACGTTGAATTACACTTACGTTTCAAACGTTATACATCCAATAGGGCGTAGTGGCCTGGGCCTAGTGATTTATCAACTTAATTGGAGTTGACGTGGCGAGTTAGTTAAGGTGACTTTTTGAGCGTGAGCTGTTTGCTCTAAGGTAGTGGCATTCTAAGCTTCACTAACTCAGTACGGCTTGTAATTTACCTTTATAAACTTCAAGTTGATAAATAAAATAGCTTCGTATTTCACTTGCCTGCTGACGAAGCCCAACTGCTTCTTCAGAAACAAATACCTTGGTGCATACATTCAGCCCGAAAGGGAACTCCTATGTAAAAAGGACCAGGGTACTCGTCGTGCCTTTTAGGGGTCAAAAAAAGCGGTTTTGGCACCTCCTTGAGGGCATTGAGCTCAAAAAAGCATGACAGGAGATAGAATGTTGTTTTAGAATTACAGTCGAACCTGTATTAAGCGGTCAGTTTTCTAAGTCCCGAAAATTACTCCCCTTAATTACTGCAATTTTTACTCTTATTAAGCGGTCGCTTTCACCATTTTATGGGACTTTTTCTATTTTCTTGACCTGTATTAAACGGTCACACGGTGTCAATCACTTGTTCATACAGTTTCAAATAATGTAACACACGAGGTAAAACATATGATTTCCTTGTTAAGTTTATTTTCGCAAATCATTAAAACGCCGGAAATGAATGTTTCTAATTTGAGGTCAACCTGTATTTGGCGGTCACCCTGTATTAAGCGCTTAATACAGGTTCGACTGTAGTACCCTTTGGGGTGAAAAAATTTCAAGCCACGCCCATGTTGGTACCTCTTAGGGGTTCTTTTCAAAATTTTCGACGAGCACCCTCTTTCTTTTTATACGGGAATCCCCCCGGGACATTCAGGCCATCCCCCCTTTTTTTTCGTTTATTGTCGAATGCGTTTTCTGATTTTGGGTCGGTCGGTCGGAAAAGGAAAGAAAAAAACAAAAATAAAATTGGAAAGGAGTCTGGAGCTAGGAGGCCCGGTACCTCAGCATAATATCCATGGAGCCCGGAAACAACAAGGTGTGGTTACAAAGTCAACATCGCGGCTATGGAGGAAGGAAAAAGTCGACGTCGTTGTTAAAATCAAACGAGAACAGGGAAAAACTAAAAATCTGTAAGGCAAAAAATTGCTTATGTTTCAGATTAAAGTGACAATTGTTTGAAATAATGTGTGATTGCCTTCACTGCCTTCTGCGTAACTTTGTTTTTTTCTTTTGAAAAACGCGAAAATCTGGGTCGGTCGGACGACGCTAAACAGAGAAAAAAAAGGGGATGGCCTCAGCAAGGTCAGCCGAAACTTAATTCAGTTTTAACAAGTTTTTACAGCGAGTTGACGCCATCTTTGTCAGTTAGTAACTGACAAATATGAAAAATAATAACTCGAATGCTGAATGAGATATTTCCGTTTAAAAAGCGTTGAATTGACAGACTTTTGTACGGCTTTCGATTTGCTTTGCTGGCAAGACTTGTCAAGACCAAGAAAACTTCGATAAATCTTCTCGAATAATGGTGCCCATTTTATGCGAAAAATAAAACAAGAGTATTTTTGAAAAGCTAGTGAGATTCTTCATAGTTGCTGTAAAATAAAGATCACTATCATTAAATAACTAATGTTTTTGTACGTGATATTAGAATCTTTGACAGCTGAAGACATAAAGAAACTTGAGACTATCAAGGAATCAGTGTTGAAGTCTGCGGAGAACAGAGAAAAACGTAAAGAGAGAGTGAAAAAGTATCTCAGCTGGGTGAGTATGTGTTATCAATTGATAGTTGCATCTTGCCAAGAATAATGAAGTAATATATCAAACGCGAAATGCCCTGTTTGACCCTATTTCTAAACACCGAGAAGAGAGTTGAAAATCATGTACGAAGCATAGCGGAGTATTTTGACAAACTTCGAATGAGGGGTCTGGAAAACTTTCAAGCGACCCTTATGTGTGACCATTCAAATGAAAGCCATTGAAAAACGCTTTCTTGTGGTGGTGTTATTATGTTGTGCAAGATGGGTTTGTTTGTTTGGTATATTTTTTTTCCATTAAATATAGTTACAAAATGTCAGTCTATAAGGCAAGGTTGGCAAGGGAAGCCAATAAGACTTATGGAATGGGCTACCTTGAAGATACCTAAGACTTAACACGAGAATAAAGATACTGTCATCGGCACACAAAATGATCATAATTTAAGACAAAATAGTTTGGCAAAGCTAAACGTGCAAATATACAAAAGCAAAATAAGACAAAACAAAATGAAAAAAAGCACGCACAACCACACTAAGAGAAGTCAAATACACTCATGTAGCACTGTTTACTATGCTGTAAAAGGTGGCTCTAACTTTCAAGTTTCTGAAAGAATCTCTAGTGCGTCGGACGCTATCGAGCAGTTATTCGGGCTCTTTTTAATTCTTCATTTTGGGTTTTACTTGTAGTAGAAACATTGACATCTATCCCTTTCTCACGTATAAACAGTTTGAAGAAGCACTGATTACAGACAAGAAGAAGCTGTCTCTTGTTGAACCTCTCACTAATGAAGACCGCAAGTTTCTTCAAAGCATTTTCATTCCCGTCCTCGACCGGTCCACTGTTGATCTGTCAAGCTTCGACACGGAAAAGATTCAAGGATATGCAATAGTTCTTAAACAAATTGCTGGTAAGATTTTGCCCTCATTTTGTCCTATAATTCTGTATAATTTTAAAACGTTCCCTGGGATTTTCCTTGGTGAAAGATCCTCTCAAGGGGTTAAGGCGGCAAGGACATTTCCCACAGAATGTGTGAGGTGGTTAGGTACGAATTGGAAGGCATCGTTCCCCCGGGGATGGTGGACTATACAGGGGCCCCCGAAAGGGATATATTTTTAAGACTGGATGCATATAAAAGGGTAGACATTTCGAAAGTAGTAATATAAAAAAAAAATGGAAAAACCTCTATTGAGGTACTTGAAAGGTCGTTTCAGAAATATGCCTGCGGTTGATTTTTACAAGTATTATAAGGGCTTTATAGAAAAGGGATGCAAGGTGGCTACTGTTGACCTTAAAAAGGATACCATTTTTATGATATCTATATGAAAGGGCCATTTGTTCTGCCAACAATGGTATATAAAGGAGTAAGAAATATATCAAACACGATAGAGTGTTTCATCAGGATATCCAAACACCGAGAAGAGAGTTGAAAATACGACGCGCAGCGGAGAATTTTTGACGAAATTCGATGAAACACTGTCTCGAGTGTTTGATATATCTTCTCAATGGAAACAAAAACTAAGGAGTAAACGGAGAAGTAAAATCGTCAAAATCTATGCTAATTAAGACCGGGCATCCAAACCTCCTTGACAGTTGTGATTTTCTTTGTTTTAACTTGTTGAATTGTTAATGAGTTTCAGAATTAAGGGTTTTGGAACTTGAGCGGAGACTTTTGGTTCTATTTCCTCCACTTATTTGACTGTGCGTTTCACACTTTAAATTTTCGTTTCGAGGACGGGCGGCCCCCCATTGTTTTAATCGTTGTCTCCACGTCTTCTCCATCGACTCCTCCACGCAAACATCCACGCATCGCGCCAGTAACATCTGTGGAAAAACTGGAAACCATGTCTAAAAATAACTTGAGAGTCCTGTCTGTGGGATTCACTCTCTTACCTTGATGTTCTCCCGATGATATCCATTTTAGCCCTATAAGCCAGTCGACGAACATTTTCCGGCTGCCATGGAGCTGTATAGGAAGCTTGCAGATCGCCTGTCAATAAAAGTGCAAGATAAATTATAGCGGTAGGATAAATTTCCGTGCGAGCACAAGGAATTGTCCAGTTGCAACAACCCAGTTGCAACAACCCTAATAGGCCATTTTACCTCTGTGTCAAAACGAGTCTTACTGCGAAACCATTCATATGAAAATATGTTACGACTGCAGGTTCATTTTCATGCAAATCAAACTCATTTTCATACGAAAGGTTTTGCAGATGGACTCGGTTTGAAACAGAGGCACAAGGTAACTGGGAAATAGCCCATTTATGAAATATTCTCACAAAGGGTTTGGTCGCGGCCAGCAGGAAATAGAGTCAAAGTTCCCGCTACTTGCCTTGCCAAGACGAAACAAATTTGCGAGACATGTTACACGAAACATTTCCTTGTGAACAAGCTAGCGCCGTTGTTGTTCTTTACGACAATTGATTTTTTTTTGCAATTTTACACGACAGATTTGTCAGATGAGCATTGGGATAAAATTGAGAAGGCTTGGGCTGAGCCAGGACAGAATTAATGAGTGAGTAGACCTATGGAAATTCAAGATGTACAATGGACGCAAGCCAAAGTCACTTAGAAACAAGGTTTTACGTGACTGTAAGCTGTGACTGTAACCTGTGAGCAGGTTTTCAGGACAAAATAAACAAGTATTGCTTATTATTTTGTGTCATTTTAAGCAGGGTTTGATTGGATAGTTATGTTAGCTTTTGGACGAGGCTATGCAAACAAGTTTACGTAAGGAACAAACAACTGCCTGGTTAGTTTGCATATCCTGGATCGCAGGCTCCGAGTACGATCATGTCAGAAGTAATCCTGTTTTTGCTGCTTAAATAGTAATCTCTTTGGATTGACATAATTTACCTAGATATTTTGTTAATTTTTTTTTTAAATTAATTAATGGAGAAACTTTTGAAACACGCTGCAATCTCGTTTTTGGTTTGAGGGATGAGTATTATTAATAATATTGAAACAAGTGTTTACATTGCATGATTCAACCACTCTTGAGGTTAATTCTAAAAATAAATTTACATAATAAATAAATTGATAAGTTTTTCCGATCCCAAAACCAGTTCTTTTTTATGAAACAAAAATCGCTTTTTTCCGACCCCTAAACCGTTTTTATCTTAACCAAATTTTGGTTTTTGACGGCGCTAGAACAAGTTTTTCCGACCCTAAATCCCGTTTTCAACCCCACAGCCGGTTTTAGACGACTCTAAAACGTGGTTTTCCGACCCCAAAATCGGTTTTTCGCGACCCTCTAGCCGAGTTCATGTGTCTCAAAAACCGGATTTTCCAACCTTAACACCAGCCTTTGGTTTAATTTCTAATGAATTTCTCTAAGATCGGATTTTGACGATCCCGCCCCAAAACCAGTTTTTAAATACCCTAAAACCGTTTCATCCACTCCAAAACCAGTTTTCGAGTACTCTAACACCGGTTTTTGACGACCCTAAAACAGTTTTGTTACCATCAACAAAACAGGTCTTTGAAAACTCTAAAACTGGTTTTTGAGAACCCTAATAACATTTTTTTCTGATCCCAAAAGGCCGATTACATGCAGGGTATTAATTGCTGTCCAAAATTCTGAGCTTGCACATAATTACATAATGTCTTTTACTTACATAATTTTTTGTACACCCATCTTTAATTACTTTGCACGAGCTGTCAGGCCCTGCATACGGCTAGCGCGCTTGAAATTTGAATTGATCAATCAGGATTCAGCAGGCGGGAAAAACTTTACTGTCCTGACGTCAGGGACTTGTCAGAAATTAGAAGGGGGAGGGGGTGGGGATTTTTAGTAAAGCGATGAAAATAAAATGGTAAATAAAGTTGTAAAAGTACTTTTACTGGTAATAAAGCAAATTTAAATCAAGACCCGTGATGAACATGCAAGTGGTCTCTGTGTTGGAGAAACAAGACAAAAAAATTACATGCCTTCATTTTCATGCATATTTTGTCATCTTGTAAAACATGATGTTAAAGCATCCCTTTACGATCATGATGGTTTAATTCCTTGTGACCGTCCCTCTTTTCCTGTTATTTTTTTCATAAGCACCTCAAAAACTGCGACCTTCCCCTATTTTCCACCCCCAAGCCCCTCCCCCCCCTGTTAATTTCTGACAAGTCCCTCAGGACGGCATTAAAATAGGAAGCGCGCGAGTGACGTCATAACTCAGACAAACAAAACGGAATGGTGGAGAATTTGACGCTTTTTCAAGCACGTAAGCAAGTGTTCCTTAAACAATTTTCAAAACGAAAATTTAGCCTTCATTTCCTCCTATCTCTCTCAGAGCACGCTAATGTTGTCTGACTCTCGCGAGGTTTCAATAATTTGCATTCTATTTTTAGACTTCGCGCGCTTCGCTATTGGGCAACTTTTCTCACTGTAGATTGCGTTAAATATTCACGAAAGGAGTTTGCAGTTCCAAAAACATTATCAGATTGTCAAAAGTGAAAAAATATGAAACATTCTTGTGTCGCCAAGCTACTAATTTTGCGCCAAAAATGGGTCTCCAGCGTCCAGCAACTCGCTCGTAGTTCGTCGAGTGTTGTGTTAATCTGAATAAAATATGCTGTTCCTCGTCAAATGAAACCCTGAGTTAACCATTAGAAGAAGCCAAAGCAACTTTAGCATTGTCTTTATTTTCGTTAGCTGCGAAGAAAAAGACTATTATCGTGTCGTTTCGGTGGGACAGTTCGGCTTTGACTGCCGGGCGTACTACGGGCGCAGCCGCCGTATGCAAGAAAGTGGGTGCGACAAAAATTTTAACTACTTGAGGTAATGTTCGTTATGGACACTTTAAGAGCATCCTGGCAATAACAAGGCTTATACCTACAGCACCATAACAGGATAACGTTTGGAATGTAATTGTAATGGGGTGAGCTTGTGTTAAAGTTACGCAAAAATATCAATTTGGAGACCAAAAAACCACTGTTGACCTTTTGAGGCTGAACACCTTAAGAGATGCTAAAAACGCTTTTTTAACCCCTTAAAGGTACGGCGAGCACCCCCGTCCTTTTTACACGGGGTTCCCCTCCTCCGGGGACTTGAGCTTAGAGAAATGAGTGCTTTGAGGCAAATACAGAAGATTTTACTGAGCGAGCCGTCGTTACTAAGAGTTTCATTTTTTAAAATACTAGTCAAAGAGAGGGTGAATGAAACACACAGGACTGGACCAGGATATTGCGAGAGTAATAATGAATCAGCCAAGAGGAATAGGCCATTACCGAGTTGCTTTTGACTCTGTGTCAAAATGAGTCTTAGTGCGAAACATCGTTCATATGAAAATGTGTTCTGCCTGCATGTTCATTTTCAATGCAAATCAAACTCATTTTCATATGAAAGGTTTTGTGCGAGGACTCGTTTTGAAACCGAGGCACTCGGAAAAGGCCCTATTTATATTGGAAGTTTGATGAATTGATTAAAGGAGCTCAGTCACGGTATTTTGAGTTATTTTGGCCACATACAAAATTACCTTTAAATGGTAGGAAACCTGAGAATAGAAGTTTAATAAGATAGAAAAACACCAAAGAGATAATGATAAAACATAGAGGAACAAGGATGGCTAAGGATGGAGAAGATTAACACGGATTACAAATGACAAGTTTGAAAAAATTGAGGCTAAACTTTTCAATATGCGCAAACCGTGACTGTGCTTCTTTAAGTAGAATGATACCCCAAACTAAGAACTCTAGTTACAATATATAACACATACTAAGCGATCCCTTGCCCCACAATGCGGTCAGCTTGACATTTCTAGTAAGGATTTATTCCGCATGTTCAACAGCGGATGTTTTTACTAATCCAGGGAAATTGTAAATAAAATTCCCAAAATTCCATTCTATTGTCATACTCGCCAAGTCCTTGAGTCAATATAGCTTACGAGTTCCATTTTATCCACTTACAATATACCTACACTCGCAATAAATCAAGTCTGCGTTGTGAGTAACTGCCGAAAAGCCGAAAAGAAAACAGCTAGTAACTAATAATGTGTAAATTAAGATCTTGAAAAAAAAAGACACATTTTTTAGGTTACATTCATTCCTGTACTTCCTGAAAAGGTGCCCTTGGTTGGAAGCACTCTTTTCAAATATGCTGTTTATAATTTTTTTCGGTCCACAGACATTTTTTTCTGCGAATAGCTTTTTTCTTCGAGCACCAGCGCGTGAGCAACCGCGAAACGGCCGTGAAAAGTATTTCCCCAGGCCACTTCGTTTAAAAGTTTGCTTGCGATCTCGAAGAACGCGACAAGGTAAATGGTTTGTGGACAGGTCGAGGCACGCTGCATAGACCATTTTATTATATGGAGAAGAGTGTTTTACTGGGAACTAAACCACTCGTAGATTCCATACGCCACTTCATCCGGGACCCGAGTGGCGTATTTTCCGTATGTCACCTTTGTGAGTGTCGTATCGTTCAATGAAGTCACGATTCCCGCCTTTTGCTTTTGTTGAATTGGCTTCTCCATATAATAAAAAGAACATTACACGTTGGCTCGAAGATATGAATTTTATGTTCTCGTGGCAATATTGTTCTTGCCACGCGAACATAAAATTCATATCTTCTCGCCACTGTGTAATATCCTCTATATATTTACCTCTCATGAGCCCAACCCTATTGTTAAGCATGAATGTGAAAGACAATGCATTGTAGGTTCACTTACTAATAAGCACTTAATGACTGGCCCCAAGGGAAACATTAAGTTTTGTTTCCCCGAAACCCTCAGTGTTCTCCGAGGCGAAGCCGAGGGAAACATTGAGGTCGAGGGGAAACAAAACTCACTGTTTCCCGCGGGACCAGTCATTGAGTGTTTTGTTATACCTTTCAACGCAAAAAAAAAAAAAAAGAAATACAAAAACAAAATACAAGGAAATCATTTGCTTGACTCCGACTGGCTCTCAAATTTGCCGCTGTTTTAAGGAGCACGACCTGATCACGTGCGAGTCGAAAGTTCAAGTTGTTGTTTGCGAGTTCAAGTTGTTGTTTCCCTAGGGAGTTAGTGAGTAGGGAGTTAGTGAGTTTTGTTCGCTCCAGGGAGTTATTGAGTTTTGACCCACGACACGTGACACGTTCTCCTCCAATCGGAAAACGTATTTGAGTTGGGAGGTTTAACAAAGTATTTTGTCTGCCAAGCGTTTAATGACATTCCTGTTCAGTGACCTTCAGCGGAACACAGATTTGAATTGCAGAAATCAATTTTGCGAGTTTCGGTCGACACGTCGCGCTCATCTTCAACGGTAAGTCAACCTTCTTGTGGAATAGAATTCAAAATACTATGGTCCTTAGTTAGGTTCAGTTTACGATTGTTTTAATGATATAGTTTGCAGAAAATGTCTCTTTGTTTCCATTTACGATGTGCTGAGTTTTATGTATTTCTGAAGCGGAACTTGTAAGCTTATAAACATTTGACGGTATAGTTCAGTTCCAGAGAAGGTATAATCACAGAGACTTTTCAGTAATAATCTGTAGGAATTGAATGTCATAGGCAGTTGTGTGGGAATTTGATTCAATATTTATAAACCTTGGCACGAAATTAAAATATTCCTCTTTACCTTAGGCTGTTTTTTTTCCCTTTACAGACCACGTGATATTCTCCAAACAAGTGCTCTTTTATCCATCTAAAAATTATTCATTCATATACACGCAATTTGAAAGCTAGAATTATCAAGAGTATCACAACATGGTCTGAAATGGAGCAAAAACCGCCCAAGCTTAAAAGGTATCCTGCTTTAAATAAAACAGCTCAAACTCCACTGTCATGTTTTAATATTTATGTGAGCTTAATTTTTTTCTTCTATGCAGTTTGTAATCTAAATAAACACCTCAACTATCTGACGGAGAACGGAGGAGATTAAAGGCAAGGTCGAAGAAAACAGTTTGTATCATTGTAATGGTGGCAAGGCAATTTTAATTGAGGGGGAGGCAAATTCGCCCGGAAGTAATAAAGCTTATATCGGAAAATGCAACCAGAATATAATAGGCTGTTACCGAGTTACCTTTTGCCTCAGTGTCAAAACGAGGCTTCGTGCAAAACCATTCATATGAAAATGTGTTTCCCCTGCGGGTTCATTTTCATGCAAATCAAACTCATTTTGCACGAGGACTCATTTTGAAACAGAGGCACAGGGTAACTCGGAAGTAGCATATTACTGGGTTGCCTGTGGCAAACCAAGCATACATTTAGGTGGCTTACTACGGTTTTGATGGATTATAACAGTCCAACTTCTAACTCTTTTAAAAATTGTTCCAAGATGTTTTTCCTTTCTCTATTTACTGTTTACTTAAGTCTTTTACCATTCTATGTGAAATTTGAACGATTAAACGTCAACAAATGGCCAAAATGAACGACCGAGTACCTAAGGAGAGACTGGGCACTAGTAGGTTAAATCACGTTTTTCTCAAAATCTACCCATATGACCCCACCTCAAAATTTCAGGAATAAGAAATTGGCTCTGATTTAACATTCATGTAAAGTAAAATAAAAATCTTTAAGCCAGATTTTTCGCAAACTAAGAAAATGTGAAATCAAAAATAGCTCAAAATCTTGTCTCTATGTTGTTCGTTAGAAGGCTCAACCTACTCACAGACGCACACGCCCTTTACAATAGACTTAAACTGAAAGTTATAATTGGTTGAGCGATTTCGGAAAGGAGCCAGTCAGGGAACTTCAAAAGAAAACATTCAGAATGAAATTAGACTGAACTAATATGCTCAGACGCTTAATCCCCATACTCGTATTTAGAATGAACCCACTGGGAAATCCTGGAAATCTACGGTAAAATCTGCAATCCCGGACAAAAGTAGTTGGGACACTTGAGCTGGATCACGTATTCCCCTTCCCCCCTAATCAATGTTGGAAAATGGTGCTTTTTTTTTTCAAAAAAAGGGGACAAAATCACCAGATTATCAACATTGTAAGTGGGGGGAGTGGAGAACTGCTTGCTTGGTGTCCGAACTCTTTTGCCCGAGATTGTGAGTTCACATGCATATAAGCCATACTAATTATTTTTGCTTTGTTGTTCTTTTCTTTCTATCAGATGATTAGAAAGGTGCTTCAAGCATTTGCAGATGACAACTTTGGCGATAACTATTACCCTCTTCTCCACGGAACGAGTTCGTCAAATGTAAAGCCATTCGGGTTGATGATTAAGCAAAAGAGGAGTATCTGGAAGAAGCCGTTCAAAAAATCCGAATTTAAAATCATTGCAGGGTTAGAGTACTATGTAAAGGAAGACAAAAAAGAAGAGTTTTTTGAGCGCGTAAACGCCAAGAAACAAACACAGAATGATTTGGAAATAACTGACTATAACGAAGACGATGAGCCACCTAAAAGGTAAATGTTCAGTTCATGTCCTCGCTTTGAAAAATTTAATTTCCGGTACAGTAGCGTATGAACCCGGCGAGCGCACACAAGGTTTATAACTTCTTTCTGCTTTAAGGTCGGCACACACGAGGGGACTACTCGCTGCGCGCGCGACTAGTTCCTGCAACTAGTCCCCTGAAGAGTTTACACGAAGGGACTGGTCGGAGGGACTTGTCCCACGAACAGTTCACACGAAGCGTTCTGAGGAACAAGTCGCAGGGAATTGGCCCAAAAATTTAAACTGGTTTGAATTCGTGAGAATAGTCGCAGGGACCAAACTTTGGTCCCTGCGACTAAATTTTGAAGCAAAAATGGCCAGTTCACACGATGGGACTTGTCCCCGCGACTAGTTGCGGGGACCAGTCCCCTCGTGTGTGCCGACCTTTAGAGCTCGGGCAGGAACAGTTTATTTCTACTACTGTAAACAACTAAAAGAATTTACAAGATTATAGTTATAAATATATAAATAAACAGTACAGTACATACAGTAGTGGGACACCCAAAATAACTAAAAAGCTAAACTAGTTGGGTGACCGTAATTATAATAATTAAAAATGTAAGATGCAGGATGCAGGAAAAATGTAGGATGGAAGTTCTTGGGGATAAAAGTTCACTGCCATGTTTCTTTTTCTTTGAAAGGGTAATTCTATGTGAAACCAGAAGTTTTTGCACTTGAAACGTCTGGCAGATAAAAAAAAAGATGCCGACTTTTTGGACTGGAAGAGGACGTATCAACCAATTTTAGGTTGCAATTTCAGCCATGTAAAGGCACGGCGTTTCCCTTGTTGAAACAATGCTGTCTCAGTTTTGTTCCAGCGATACAAAAAGTGATAAAAACTATAGCAATTTAGCTTCCTTAAATTGTTTAACATACAATCACAGTGGTCACGGGACTAGTGACTAGAAAACTTTAAATGGGGTAAGAATGACAGACTTTAACTCAAAGTAAGTTGCGGCTATTCTTTGGCACATAGTTTATTTCCTTCGACTAATTTCGAGTTCTGTTGGCAAGAAAACTGCATTTTTGTTGGTTCAGTTAAACAACTTTTTCAACCAGTATAAAGCTTGGTGGACAACCCTTAGTTTGATTGAAGTTATCCGAGATTTTAATAGAACACTTTTCCAACTATTTTGGCAGAAAACATTCTTCTTCATAAGTACTGTAGTTGATGATTCTGAAACTGTGTAACTTACTGCGCCTTTCAATAACATGCGGACTCTTAAAATTCAAAGCTCAACCGACAAATGCGTTTTTCGCTACCGCCAATCAAATGTTCGGCGGCTCCTCCCAGCTTCCGACTACAACCGAGCACTGTTTCGTTGTCTGAACTTTGCTCAACGATTTGATCACCGCGCGCTCGGTAGTAGTCGGAAACTGGAAGGAGCCGCCGAACATTTGATTGACGGTAGCGAAAAACGCATTTGTTGGTTGAGCTTTGAATTTTAGAGTCCGCATATTATTGAAAGGCGCAGTAAGGAACCAAGTATATTGAACTTCTGAATTTACAATACCTAATCTTNACCCAATATAATTCCCTACATGCTTTCTATTCTCTATTGATACTGTAATTAATATCTGCAGTTACATGGAATTTGGAGTTCAGGTTGCTGACATAGCGGAGGGAAATCTGAAGATTAATTATGATCTTGGAGAGTTGAAACTCGGTAAATTGGACAAAGAGTACTTTAACGATCCAGACCTGCATAGCATACTACAAGGAACCGAGCTCGACACCACGGCGATGGAACGCGTTGAAAATGAGAAACTGTACCTCATTTATAGCGTCATTTATAGTGAACGGTTTGAACTTGAAGGCAAGAGACAGAGTGAGGTAATGACGAAACTGCACAATGTAATGTTTCGATTTAATGCTCCCCTTCCAACAAGTGCCCCATTCCAAAAAAGCGCCCCGGCCCCTATAACAATAAGCGCCTCCTTTCAACAAGCACGCCCCATACCAATTAGCGCCCCCTTCCAACAAGCGTCCCCTATTCCAATAAGCGCCCCCTTCCAACAAGTGTCCCCTATTTCAATAAGCGCCCCATCCAATAAGCTACCACAATTTCAATAAGCGTCCCCTATTCCAATAAGCTCCCACTATTCAATTGAGCGTCCCCTTCCAACAAACGCCCCCCTATTCCAATAAGCGCACCATCTAATAAGCACCCACTATTCCAATAAGCGCCCCCTTCCAACAAGTGTCCCCTATTTCAATAAGCGCCCCATCCAATAAGCTACCACAATTTCAATAAGCGTCCCCTATTCCAATAAGCTCCCACTATTCAATTGAGCGTCCCCTTCCAACAAACGCCCCCCTATTCCAATAAGCGCACCATCTAATAAGCACCCACTATTCCAATAAGCGCCCCCTTCCAACAACGCCCACTATTCAATTGAGAGCCCCTTCCAACTAGTGTCCCCTATTCCAATGAGCGTCCCATCTAATAAGCACCCACTATAACAATAAGCGCCCCCTTCCAACAACGCCCACTATTCAATTGAGAGCCCCTTCCAACTGGTGTCCCCTATTCCAATGAGCGTCCCATCTAATAAGCACCCACTATTCCAGTAAGCGCCCCCTTCCAGCAACCCCCACCATTTAATTGAGCGCCCCCTTCCAACTAGTGTCCCCTATCCCAATAAGCGCCCCATCTAATAAGCACCCACTATTCCAATAAGCGCCCCCTTCCAACAACCCCCTCTATTTAATTGAGCGCCCCGTTCCAACTAGTGTCCCCTATTCCAATAAGCGCCCACAATTCCAATAAGCCCACACAATTCCAACAAGCGTCTCCTATTCCAATAAACGCCTCCTTCCAACAAGCGTCACCTATTCCAATAAGCGTCCCCTTCCAACAAGCGTCCCCTATTCCAATAAGCGTCCCCTTCCAATAAGCGTTACCTATTCCAATAAGCGTCCCCTTCCAATAAGCGCCCACCATTCCAATAAGCGTCCCATATTCCAATAAGCGCCCACAATTTCAATAAGCGCCCTCCATTCCAATAAGCGTCCCATATTCCAATAAGCGCCCACAATTTCAATAAGCGTCCCCTAGTCCAATAAACGCCCCCTTCCAACAAGTGTTCCCTATTTCAATAAGCGCCCCATCCAATACGCGCCCACTAGTCAATTGAGAGCCCCTTTCAAACAAGCGTCCCCTATTCCAATAAGCGTCCCCTTCCAATAAAAGCCCAATCCAGAAAGTTTTCTTGCACCATTTAAGTGCGAAAGGGCATTGAGGAAATTGCCGCAGAATAGACTGATTAGAAGAGTGAATTATGTACCCTGCTTTCTCATCTGAATGTTATATTCAGATTATATATTATAGTTATATTATAATAAATCGAAGCAAATCGTGTTATGTTATGATTATGAGAGCTCTTATTGTTATAGAGGTTTGAGTTTTTGATAGTTGTCTCCGAGAGTTCACTTCAGTGCTTTATTAGAGTCAGATGTTTCTGTCAAAGCAGAAAACTAACTAAGCGCCCCGTCCCTAATAGCTGCTCTCCTTGATAAGCGCCCTCGTTTGGGCTAGCAAAATCCTGAATGATTGAAGTAAATGTTTGTCAGTCTTATTGAGCTAATATTATTGTTTATATCTTGGTTTTAGTTGTTTACTATAAGTTTGGATTTTCTTAATTCGACCGGGGTTGCGCGTGGAGGGGTGGGGGTAGTGTAATGTAGGGGGAGGTGATAGCGATATGTTTAATTTCTTGCTGTTTTTTGTTCCAGGTGGTGGTAGATGGAGGTGTAAATGTTCCTGTCTCGATTATTCCCCAGCTCAAAGTTAAAGCAAAGGGTTATTTTAAAAAGAAAACCGTTCCTCCGAAGGCGGTAAAGAGACACACACGCGGCCCAGTTTATTTAAAATTTGTTCCTGTGGATTACGATAAGGCGCAGGGAAAATTGAAACTTCCGCCGGGAGAGTTTGCAGGCTCGAGTGTTCACAGAGCTGCTGGCGACGAACACGATACAGAGAACAGCCAAACTGCCCTGGCGTTTGAGGATGAGGACAATAATTTGGCAGGTAGACACATACACGGACTTTCACATCAAGTTAGAGATCGGCTATTAAATAAACTCTCTCTGTGCTATTGCTCGTACAACAGCGCGAAATAGCAGCTTAACTGTTCCGTAAAGCCGCCGTTAAATTACCTGCTTTATTATGAGAAGGAACAGCCAGCACTGTGTTTGACTGCGTAACGATTTTGCCTCATTTCCCGCGTCAGTAATATATCTGAACAGACAGAATTGTTTGATTGAATTTCTCGGGCATGTCACCTTTCGCGCCAAATTTAGCGATTAATTTGACCTAATTTGTCATTTGTTCTACTGACAAATATGCCCTTAATTATTAGCTCCCTTGACAGACGAGGATTCTAAGAAACTGGATATCATCAAGGAGGCAATATTGCTGAAGTCTGAAGATAGAGAAAAGCGTAAAGAGCGAGTGAAAAAGTATCTAAAGTGGGTACGAAGGATTTTTGATATTCGTAGTACGGTTCATTCGTCAAAATGGAAACATTAGTGGGAACAGAGTGCGAATATTTCATATAGAAGGGATAAACGATATTAGTTGTAACATTTTTGTATCTTCGTGGAAATTCTTTGGCAATATTAACTCGAATCTTTTGAGTGACCCCCCTATTACGCCATATTTTTTTGGCTACCTCCCTCCGCCTTTGCAGCCATATTTCTAACTTTTCACTCACTGCTGTATAGTTTGAAGAAGCTCTAACCACAGAGAAGATGACGTTGTCCCTACCCGATAACAAGCCGCTTACAGATGAAGACTGTGATTTTCTTCAGAGTATTTACTGCCAGGTCCTTCCCGGCAAAATTTACACCGTGGATCTGTCATCTTTAAAAACAGTAGAAAAGATTCAGGGATACGCTATACTTCTTAAGCTTATTGATGGTAAGAAGCCGCAAGAAGTTAAACGCTAGCTATTTGTGCATTATAATGTCGATAAAAAAATTATGGATCGTGATTGGTTCTTTGTGCGGATATCTGTCACGTAATTGGTTTCCGATCACATGGGTGTCCAATTATAGGTATCCGATTTCAATTTTTTGTGATTAAATACCTACGCCACTCCCAGTTCATAATTTTCACCACAGTTTTTACAATAATGACTTTTTCGTTCTAAAGAGGTTCTCTTAAAAAGTTCTGTGTCGATGCGATTTCAAATCGGCCTCGCGCTGCGCGCTCGTCCGATTTTGTAATTACTCGCCCAATTACTCCCTGACTACTCCACTCGGTCCAACTGAATTACTATTAAAGAAATATAAAACATGCACATGCACCCGTGAAAGTTTAGGAGAACTCGAAAAAGCTGTCGACACACGAGCCGTTCACTCGCTTAACGGCTCGTGTTTCCACAGCATTTCTCGTTCTCCCAAACTTTCTTTCGTGTTTCTATTAAACAATTAGGTTATGAGCTCGAGATTTCTATCGCGTGATACTTGACGAGGGCGCAGCCCTCGTCAGATATCCGCATAGAAATCGAGAGGGAATAATCTAATTGTTTTAGTATAAATCTTCTGGGCATTTTCGAAGTGTCTATGAAGAGGATTTAGATAAAGTTTTGAACGACTGGTAGACTTATACCAAAAAAATTAGATTATTCGCTCTCGATTTCTATGCGTGATAGTTGACTCGCGTAGCGCCCTCTCAACTATCACGTGATAGAAATCTCGAGCTCATCGCGCCGAATGCCTATTGTTCTCGGAACATTTACTTACAGTTCTTAAAATATCTTAGGTCTGTCATATTGCCTATTATTATTCAAATAAACGCGAGGTGGTGAGTCTCATTGGTTAAGATAAACGAGTGCTTTTTCTCGTAGGGAATATGACACCGCTCATCAACTTGAAGTACGGCGGAGCATCGAAACAATGAATTTTTCGCAGTATTGTTTTCTCTATTGTTTAGACTATTAGCACCTCTCAAAAGTAAATTTACCGCTTCTCCCTGAAAAAGAAGGGGGGAAAAACAAAAGCTGATATGAAAAATTTGTTATTGATCAGTATAAAAGAAATGAAAACACTTGAGCGAAACAATCGTTTGTGTCTTAAACTTTGATTTAAAGTTTGGTTAATACGTTGGAAAGAGTTTGCTTTCTTGCATCAAACGGAACTAATGTAAAGAAAACTAACGATCGTGTTATTCTTGGATCGCATTCTATCGATCGAGTTTCTTTGAAAATGATCAAGCGAATTCTTTCTTTGGGCAAGTCGAAGTTACCCCGGGAGGAGGGATAGTGTTGGGGAGGGGGAGAGGGCAGGGGGATATAACCTGTGAGAAGACAAGCAGTGCCATACACACCGGCTCATTAGCGTAAAGTTCAGTTTTTTGGATTTTTACTTTTGCATTAGGTGAGGGAATACAGGTTAGAGCGGAAAGTAGCCACTGTGACAAGTTTTCCTTTTTACCACAAAATCATTCCTGGAAATTTACTTCACAGGTTTGTCTGATGAACAGTGGGAAGAGATTGAGAAGGCTTGGGCTGACCCAGAACAGAATGAATGATGGGAGAGAAGCAAGCTACTTCAAAATGCATTGTTGATAAGAGCTAATAAACTGACAGAGGAAGCTCTTTGAAAAGAATGGATTTGACGCCATACAACTAAGTAGCACAGAGACAGATAGTTAGAATGAATATTATGTAGATTACATGTAGTGTACACACTTTTAATTGCGCACACCCATTTCAATTGAACTTAAAAATTGATACAAATGTAAAACATTAGCAATACTTAAGTGTGGCTACTATAAAAGTTCCTATACAATATAATGCTATCGGTTTATTCTTTTCAATTTTCGTAAGCATGTAATATGGTGGTGTTAGTTCTTGCACATGCGCAATATCCGTGTTATACACGTGACCTGACGACAGACAGCCCTAGTTTTGGCGGGAACTTGCACTGCCAACCGCGCCGAGTGCCATTGCTTGATGGACATCTTTACGTTTGTGTGCCCGTTGATTGTCCAATCAAAAAGCAAGTTGCTGAGAAAGCTATTAAACTACGCTAGTGTTGGCCATAATTGTTTGAAAAATCAGAGAAAAAAATGTAAAAAAAAAAAAAAAAAATCGAAATAAAAAATTTTCGCGAGTGTTTAAATACTGCGACTGTTGTTATCTATCTTCTAAAGTCTTTTTCATAAAAAGAGTTGAAAGCAGCTGGAATTTAACTGAACCTCTTGTGTGTTCTACTGCTGGATCTCGAGGACTCGGCTCATCGACTCTCAGTGCTCGATTGTGCGCTCTCACTGAATTTGAACCTGCTCTAATTTTGCGTGTAATTCACTAAATGTTTTCTCTCGTTTGTCCCACACCCATTGAGATTTGAACTCAACTCTCTTCCACGGTCCTTTAACACTTGGTGACTTCTCGTTTTCGTCTTGCACTGTGTTTTGACACAGTCTCGTTGGTGTTCACACTTCTCTAAACGGTATCTACCTTCCTTGAAACCGGAAACGTACCTTTGGGGATTGCTTTTGAACGCGGTCGAGTTTTAAATTCGAGGACGTTTTTAGCATTCTAGTGCAGATGTTACAACCAAACGTATTTAAAAATCTGTTGGGAGCGCCAAGTATAAAGCCAAGGTAATTGGGGAACCAATTATCAGACATATTTCGCTTGATACAGTGACCATTGTCACATTGATTCATGTTTTTGACTTACCTGCTTACACATAGAACTTATAATCGTTTTATTCTCTGAAAGGTGGGTGGAAGTGTGCGTGACTTGTGCAAAAATGAGTGCGTCAGGACAGCGTGACAGGTGACAATTTACGCGCCGCGCAAATGTACATAGGAAGTTAGTGGAACAGTGTACATTTCACGATCTGCCCTCCCCTCACTTTTGGCGCCACGCTCTTATCCGTTGAGGCCAGGCTTTCTCGTTTTTTCGCGCGGGCTGTGACCCTAGGGTAAGTTTCGTCTCGCGGTCCCTTGTGGGACCGTTGTTTTGTTCCCCAGTAACAGTCCCACAAGGCATTGCAAGATGAGACTCGCCCCAGATTTCTTACTGTTTCTTAAGTGGCTAATGAGCATGTGATTATTGACAGTGGCGGATCCAGACTTTGAGCTAAGGGGGGCGGGGGGGTTTGATTTACTTGCCCTGCCACCTTGTTTTCCTTCAGTCATTTCTTCTTTTTTCACCCAAAATAAAGAGGGGGGGGCCTCCCCTAGATCTGCCACTGATTGAGTGTTGTCCTGGGAACCTGGGATAGACTTATCTAAACAACAGCAGAGAAACTTCCTTTGCACAACTGTATTTTCAGAATTTTTAACTGCCTTTGCAGTGCAGGATCCAGACCTTGAGCTAAGGGGGGGGGGGGGGGGGGGGG